TAGACCAGAGCCTTCTCAATCACCTCCCTCACACTTTAAGACTTACTCAGCAAAATCCAGTTTTCCAAGTGCAACACCATGTGCTATGTACTTAAAGAACACCTTGTATCAAGACAGCCCCACCTATTGAGGCCAGGATATGCTTCTTGGCCACAGGAACTGCAACAGGCTACATCCTTTCCCCACTGCATTGTACATGCTACAAAGGCTACATAAGCTACCATAACCCCATACCATTATGGTTGTTGGAGAAGTAAGATCTTTCTCTTTCTGAATCTGACCCAAGTATAAGATGCAGAAGGTCAGGTCAGGTATATGCACAATACAGAAGACACACACACAACTGGGTCACACAACTCAAACATCATCAGGGACAATTAGCCAGCTGCCAAGTTCGCTTCAAGGTATTTCTTTATACAGTGATGACATTCTGGATGCCATCTCAATCTAACAGCTGACCGTGGACAAGGAATAATTAAATGGTTACCTAATTGTTGCTAGATAGTTATCTTTTCAATAGGCCTTTGCTTTTCCATTATTGATTCACTTATCTGTTATCTGTCACCAGAGCCAACAGATTAAAGGCTGAACATCTTTAAATCACAGCCTGAGAGAAGGCATTACAATATGAACAAGCTCTCAAATTAGGGCCTCCTCAGAGGTTACATTCAAAAGCTTATAGTCCAAATCTTTCCAATATGTGCTTCTAAACTAAGAACCACAGAACCTCAGAAATGGAAAGGCCTAGTTAAGTACCTATTTCATTAAAAAAAATAGTATAAAGGTGATTGCAGAGAAGTTATAATTACATTAGTTGAGTAGAGTACATTTCTTTTTAGACAATGTCACCCCTGTCCCTTACCTTCTCCCAGTTTTTCCTTCCCATTCCCATCCACAAATTGTACAGTTCATTTGACACATAAGGTCTAGTGAGTACCACCACTGCATTTGTTCCCCTTTGTCAAAAATACATATTTCTTACATTACCAGAATTACTACATCAACTTCACTTGAGCAGCAGTATTGAGAACTAGTCTGAGACCAGCTGATTCCAGGCTTAGTAGACTGAATTAGTAAAGTTTGCTCTAGCTATGGGAGGGGAGAAATGGATTAGTAATTTCTGTCTTGACCCAGGAGAGGAAGCACCATTCTAATACATATTTGCCTTTCCTCCTTTGGAATCTAAACTAACTTCACAAAGGAGTAATCCAATCCCAGAGCAGTTAAACCACTTTACTAAGGTCACTGATTGAGCCAGGGGCTCCTTGGTAGAAACAAGCCCAGAAAAATAAAACAGAGATGTGGTTGGCTAAATCAACAGCCCTTCCCAAGTGAAATCAGATTTCACCACAGTAAGCAAGCAGTGATTAGCAATCTAAAAGCTACCAGCCCCTATGAAGAAAACTATAGAAATCATCCCAGGGTACATTTCCAAGAACTTAACTTACTGATGGGCACGATTCTTCTATGAGAAGACTGAAAGGAATGGAGGGACAGGGGTGGGGAGGAAAGTATTAATTTTTGCATGTGCTAAGAATAAAGTTCAGCTCTGACATCAGAAAATCTCCTGATACTTGAAAATTAAAGTCATTGGTATTCCATTATCCCATCAATTTCCATTCTACAGATGCTCTTATCCAATGAAGTCATTTCTCATGAGAAATTATGGCTCAGAAGTGGGGAGGGACCACATCAAGTTTCCTAATGCGGGCTTTTAATAACCACTTCCCAAGCCTGAAATATGAAACAGATTCTAGCATTAAACCAAGATGTTACGCAGATTAGCAGTGGGGTATGGTAATGAGAGCAAGTCCAAAATTAAAAGAAAGATGGCATCACGGCTGGCTTTCCTACTTGGTTTGCAGCTTTCTGAGAAGCCAGCTGTCTGACCAGATGAATTTAGAAACCCTAGAAGCATTATGTGTCTTTATAAATCAGATGCCCTGCCCAGCTCCAGAGGTACACTCAGGATGAACTGGGTGGCAGTTCTGTGACTAACATTCTAGCAGAGGACAGCTAAGTGCTCTTTTATTCTTCAGTGGAGGAATCAAGGAGTTAATAAGACTGTTCAAATAGTGTGTATGTTGCCTTCAGATAAACTTCTCTCAAATCCACAAGGAATCTAATTTTCTTTTGGACAAAAGTCCTGTCAAGACTTCCCTCCAGAGCTTCTGTGGTTACTTCTGCGAGGAAGATCAATGAGAAGGTACTGTGGGAAGGTTCTCAACAATTACCAGAGTGACAGACTGAGCTTAGAACCAACCGGTCAATCCTTCATAACAGCTCTAAGAGCTCCAGATAGCAGATTTCCCAGACAACAGCCTGATGTGTTGCATGCATGCTCAGGGACAGTGTGGAATGAGGACTGGAAGAAAGTCAGCCTCTTCCTTCATGGCCAGCTGACATTCAAACAAGGAACTAACAGAGAAGGCCAAGCCCAGGGCTTTGCCTCTGCAATAGAGTAGAACACAGAAGTGCTGGGTGGAAATTTGGCAGGATATTCCTGAAAGGCAGCAGATGAATGCTAAATCTATAGCACCTACAAAGGCCTATCATTGCAAAAGAGCACTTCTGCTGCACCCAAGAAGGATACATTTTCTTTAAAGGAAGAACAGCCAGTTGACAATCCTTGAAACACCAATTCCATTCACCACTTCCTCCTCTTCCTTACGCTATTCCAGAGAAAAAGAAATTAAACAGGAATTAAATCTGCCCCATGAGCCTATCCACACACACTGCAGGTCAGTGTTATGAGAAGCATCCATCCAGCTATTGCCCTCCTCTTTTTTTGACCTAAAGACTGCTTTATTTAATCAATACCTTCTTGTAGATGTGAGTAATTTTCTTTGAAAGCTCAGGCCAAACTGGCAGTTAACCTTAACCTTCTCTCTACATATTTGGGTCTACAGAAAATGAAAATCAGGACTTCTTTGGCACCTACCTCAACTGAAATTTGAGGGCTTTCTTTAGGCAGAAACAGGCTGTCAGAGCTCTTTTAGACCTGGCCCCAGCTATTCTGCAAGAGACGTGCACTTGGACAGGACCCACCCCTTTTGGCTGGGGCTCTGCCAATACAGAACCCTTGAACCTACGGAGGCTGCAAGGGACAATGCCCCAGGAAAAAGCAGTAGCCCTGTGTTCACTCACTGATCACATCACAGAATGCTGGCAACCGAACCAAGAGATGGATGGACATGATGGATGATAAGCACATACAGCAAATTAAGGGCAGAGCCAAGCACAGAGCCCTGGCCTCTTCAACCTGACACTGGTACAGGATAGGAATTGAAGGAGATTTCAAGAAAGAAAAACATACAAGATACAGAATTTAAGGGGAACAAGGCTAGGCTGGCTACCAGGGTTTGAACCCAGGGTTTAGGAAAGGACCTTGCTAACTTTCCTTAGTTTCTGAACAGTTAAGATGTACCATAAAGATCAAGCCAACTCCTCTGGATGGTTTGCAACAATTAACTAGAGTAATTGCTAAGCTCCAATTGATTAGCCCAATGGCAAAGAACTATCTGTGCTCAAGATACCATAATGGCTAGAGAGCAGGCTGACACTAAGTAGAAAGGAAAACCGTCAACTACAAAAAGTCAGCCTCTTACCTTGAGGGCAGCCAACAGTCAATTCTACCCCTGATATGAACAGTGCCCACGTCCCATAGGACCACAAAAATCCCCTAAATATTTGAAAATATCCCAATATCAAACCAATTCAAGCATGCATATTTTTGCCAAGAGATGAGAAAGGTGGACTGATGTGATTGAGCAGGAAAATATTAATCCAAGCCAGGCACTGGTGGCTCACACCTGGAATCCTAGCTACTCAGAAGGCTGAGATCTGAGAATAATGGTTCTAAGCCAACAATGAACCATCAAAAAGCCAGAAGTTGAGCTTTGGATTAGGTGATAAAGTGCCAGCCATGAGTAAAAAACAACTAAAGGGCCAGCCATGAGTGAAAAACAACTAAAGGGCCCAGGTCCTGAGTTCAAGAGCCAGGATCTGAGCATGCACACACATACACGAAGAAAAAGCCAATTTAGTCCATATGTATGTACATATGTGCACATACATGAGATGTGAGTGAGTTTCAAAGAGGCAGGAACAATTATGGTAACAGTTAGGGCTGCAAGAAATACCATGTCCCATTAGAAAGGAGGAGAGAAGGAAGGTATATGGCATTCTGCACTCAGGGTACAGTGCTCTGAGACATTTTGGGGTATCCCTCCACAGGGACACCTCTATACTCCTGGAGGGTCAAAGGTGGCAATTTCTTCAAGAACCAGAAATTCACCTTTCACCCCATCAAAGTGACCTTAATTTCCAAGAGGACCTTTGCACTCACTCCCAAGGAATTCACAGGACCTGAGAAATGAATAGGATGGGGAAACCCTAATAGGGAGAGGGAAGCCAGAAGGGCAGGGGTGACCTGAGTAGAAACACTAGGATCAGCAAGCGGGGGTGAGGGAGGGAAGCAGAGGTGATGGGGGAACCAGTTCAACAGAAAGCATCACACCCTGGGGATACAGGCATGTGCAGACAAGAGTTCTCTCCAGAAAGAGAACACTGGACAAGGTCAGAGGACAGGAGAGGGCAACAGAAAGGCAGACAGACTGTAAAGTATGGAAAATAGAAATAAGAGTTCTATACTGGGCATCAAGGGCCCTGGGTTCTAATTCAGACTCTGCCGATTGGACAAATCACTGTCCCTGGAGCCTCAATTTACCTCATCTGGGAGAGGAAATGGAAAGAAGCCCAGACTCTTCAGGAGCTGCCTCTGAGGACATCTACGGGAGGAGGAGGATGGAGAAGGAGGCGCAGGTTTGAAGTAAAACGAGACGGGGGGGGGGGGGGGGGGGGAGGGGTAAGCATCCCAAGCCCCACCGCATCCAAGGAACTCACCTGTTCCAAGGCAGGAACCACAGCTCCCGGCACCAGCACCACCACCACCACCACCCCCACCCCCGGCCCCAGGATACTGTTGAGCTGCCACTCACGTTGGGCAGGAAGACCAGGGCTGCTAGTACCAGAGCCACCACCTGCAGAAGCTGCTTCTCCTTCTGCCTCATCAGGGGCAGTCAGCCCCATGCGCTGCTGGCCCCACCGCACCGCCGCCAGCTCCAGGCTCCCGGCCTTCAGCGCTACTGCCTGGTGATGGGCAACTCAAAGAGCACAAGCACCTCAGAGCCCACCCTGCTCCACCTCCAAGCACTTCCGCAGCTTGCCAGACAGGAAGCCGGAAGCTACCACTAAATTACCGCCATGGGGGGGGCTCAGCCGCCAACACCGATGTGGGGCATGGTGGAGCCATCAAGCCCCCAAACCCTCTTATAGACTGTCTACACAAGGCCTGTACACGTCGACCTCCACCTTCTTGCGAAGGGTTTCCATCTATCCGAGCACGACCTAGACATCGGACATTAGGTCTCCCCCCTCCTGAGCCGATGGTGTGTCCCGCTCCTCCCTGGCTCCCCACCGCGGGGGCGGTGAGGAAGTGCAAGAGTTGGGTTGTTGTTGGGCACTGACTGATGTACGCTGGGCGCTAGTGCACAGGGTGCATTTTTGCGGGGTTCGAGTGTACCCCAGGATCTGATCCCAGCCTCCTCTGCTGGCTGAGCCACGGTCCAGGGATTCGAGCTCCTCCGGCCTTGCTTCTAGTGCTGGAGCCCCGCCGATGCACAGCTCCCAGGGTTTGGGGCTCCACACTCACCTTGGCCAGGGCCTGAGGACACCAACACCTGCTTTGACCCCAGGATCTTAGTGTCCTCAGCCATGGAATGCGGTCCAGGCAGTGATCCGTGTGCACTGTTCCACCCCCAGACCCTAGGTTTCTTCCTATCAAAGACTCCAGATGTTGAGTGTGTGTATGCTCATATTTAGAACCGAGTCCAGTCAGTGCCCTCTGCCCTGTGACACCTGCCTGCTGTCCCTACCAAAGTGGTGGGGAGGTGATCCGAGCCCGTATGTAGGCCACTTCAGCAAGCAAGTCTACTCATGTCCTCTGGACACTCAGTGTGTGCAACAGAGCCCTTTCCCAAACTTTGGGTTCAGGGTTTGTCTCCATTCAGCTCTATTTGGCAAACCATCACTCAGCACCCATGTGTTCCAGACCCTGTACCAGGCTCCAGGAGGACGTGCAGCAAGCCCCAAGCCCTGGGAGTTGAAATGACTGTGGGCTAAAACACTAAACAAACATGCCATCACCCAAGACAGGCTAATGTGTGCATCACTCTGAAGAAAGACTGGGCTCCCTGCTCCAGTGCTCAGCCCTTAACTGCTTCCTCCCTGATGCCCTCTGCTATGTGCACTCCACACATGCCCTCTTGATTCTCTGCTTTTGCAGCTTGGCCACTGAACCTAGTAACTTACCACTCCCAGTCCTAGACCAGTCTCAGCTTTGTCTGCCCAGGCTGACTTGGAACAGGGATCTTCAGATCTCAGCCTCCTGAGTGGCTAGGACTACAGTCAGGAGCCATCAAACATCCAGGTCTGCACAGAGGTTGAGAGGAAGAAGTTTCTAGAGAAGAGAAGAGCAAATTTGCAAAGGCCTTGCATGATTTGTCAACTCGTTGGATATTTATTTATTTAGGAAAACAGCAAGATCAGTGTAAATAAGAGAAAAGCAAAAGCTATAAGTTGGTCATACTGGCTCTAAGGATTCTCATGGTTAGTTATTGTGAAGGAAAGCCACAGGTGAGACCCACAGCTCACCTGGGTTTCTTATGAAAGGATCCCTCTGGCTGTTCTGTTAAAGCAGTGTGCCCTAGTCTAGCTCCAGGCTTACCTGTGATGCATTTGTTTTTCTGACATCACAGCTTGGGTCCTAACACCTGTAACAAAACATTGAAGGCTTGCATTCACCTTGGCTCGAGTCCACATTCCTGGGGATGACACACAAGAGTTAATCAAACTCTCAAGTCTGTAATCTTAGCTACTCAGGAGGCTGAGATCTGAGGATGGATCTCTGTTTGAAGGCAGCCTGGGGACAAACATCCGTGAGACTCTTATGGCCAATAAACTACTCAGAAAAAGACAGAAGCGGTGCTGTGGCTCAAGTGGTAGAGCACTAGCCTTAAGCACAAAGAGGCTCAGGAACAGCACCCACTGGCCCTGAGTCCAAGCCCCAGGACTGGCAAAAAAAAGAGTTAATCAAAACTCTCTTGCCTTCCCTGCTCTTCCTTCTCAGCCTAGTGCTGGCTTTGTGTGCTTAGCACACAGAAATCCTGCTCTTTCTCATCTACACTGGCTACCTCATTCATTGTCCATTCAAAGTTGAACTTTTTTTCTCAAGGTTGATGTTCTACTGTTGAGTCTCAACTCTACTTTGGCTTTTAGGTAGATAGTTGGAGATAAGAATCTCACAGACTTTTCTGCCTGGTCTGGCTTCTGGCCTCCATCCTCAGTTCTCAGCGCTCTGAATAGGTAGTATTATAAGTGTGAGTCACTGGCACCCAGCAAATTTGACTATTTTTTTTTATTCCTCATGTATGTGGAAACAGTCTTTTTAAAATACCACATTTATTTCACTAACAATATTTAAATATCCATGCATGTTGTAGCATGGGTCCAAATGCCATTCTTTTTAAGATTGAATAATGTTCTATTGAATGAATATACCACATTTTGTTTATCCATCAAGGGACATTTGGGTTGTTTCTACCTTTCCACTACTGTGAATAAACATTTTATGTCTTTTACATTGAGCACCTGCAGTAACAGAGCAGCCAGAAGAATCCTTTCATAAGAAACCTAGGTGAGCTATGGGTCTCACCTGTGGCTTTCCTTCACAATAACTAACCATGAGAATCCTTAGAGCCAGTGTGACCGACATACAGCTTTTGCTTTTCTCTTAGTTACACTGATCTTGCTGTTTTCCTAAATAAATAAATAAATGTCCAACAAGTTGACAACTTTTTGGATTTGTCAACTTGTTGGATATTCATTTGCTCTTCTCTTCTCTAGAAACTTCTTCCTCTCAACCTCTGTGCAGACCTGGATGTTTGATGGCTCCTGACTGTAGTCCTAGCCACTCAGGAGGCTGAGATCTGAAGATCCCTGTTCCAAGTCAGCCTGGGCAGACAAAGCTGACAGACTCCTATCTCTAATCAACTAGCAAAAAGCTACAAGTGGAGGTTTGGCTCAAGTGGTAGAGCATCTGCCTTGGGGGGAAAGGCCAAGCAAGGGCATAAGACCCTGAGTTCAAGCCCCAACACTGGCATACACACACACACACACACACACACACACACACAAATAAAATCATTGTGTGGTTCTCTCCATCTTCTCAGGAACTTGATCAGTGGTTCTGCCTCAGCAAGCCCTTCTCTGGACAGCTGATCTAAAATATTAACTTCTTTCCTCTCCGGTTCCTTGATTTTCCTCAGAGGAGCTCTCAGTTTGGGCTTCCCTCTTAGGGTGTGAGCTGTAAGCTCACACTCTATTCTATTGCATCCTTATCTCTAGCAGCACCTTCTTCCTTTTATTGAAAATCAGAAAATTGACTCTCCTTTTGGTCAGAGGGGTTTGCAAAAAGGGCCTTCCCTCTTCTCTGGGCCAAGTAGCCCAAGTAGACCTGAGGTCTGAGGATTTTAGCTCATACACACCTCAACCATGGAAGGAAGACTGAGAACCTTCCTAGACTAGGCACATTGTAACTACTATATTCAATAATTACTGTTTGAGCAAAGTATAGCAATCAAGGTCATAACAGGAGGGAAACAATTTGGAGTCATTCCCCTTCCCCTCTCCTCTTTAGCTCCATAGAGGACTCTGAAGGAAATTGGATTTGAGGTGTTTTGTCTTATTTTATTTGTTTTTTGTCTTCCCTGAGTCACTTGTTGATCAAAGCTGCACACCAACTCAGTCTTCCCACCATAGAGACTTTTCCTTAAGAACCCAGCTTTAATCTCCAACTTCTTTCATCACTTTTACAATATAGGTTACACCCAGTGGGGGAGGGGCTTCTGGGACTTTATCCTCCTCCCAGTGACAAGACAACTCACAGGGGGAAAAAAAAATGGAGCTGACCACTGACTGAAACTCAACCAGAACTGGCACTTTCAGGAGTAAGCCCTCCTATTGGGACAGTCATAGACATTAAATGAGATAATATATAATAAAGTCTTGTCTAGTCCTGGTGACTCAAATCTATAATCCTAGCTACTCAGGAAGCTCAAGTGTGAGGACTGGGCTTGAACTAGGTGCTTTAGGCCTTGTCCTTCAGCTCAAGGCTGTAGTGCACTACAACCTGAGCCATAACATCACTTCCAGCTTTTTCTGAGTAGTTTATTGGAGATAAGAGTCCCATGGCTTTCCCGCCTAGGCTGGCTGTAAACCACGATCCTCAGATCTCATCCTCCTGAGTAGCTAGGATTACAGGCTTGAGCCACTAGGGTCTGGCTGGCTCTCACCTTTCTGATGTCATCTCCCCTCATTCTCTTTCTTACGTAGAACCAGCCACACACCCCTTCCTCCTGGTCCCGAGTTCATTCCAGCTCTGAGACTTTCACCTTAGCTATTGCCTTTGCCTGATGTTTTTCCATACTCCCCCTAAAGCTGGCACCCTCTCACCCTACAGGTCTTGGCTTCAATGCCACCTATTCACAGAGACCCTTTGTGTGTGTGTGTGTTTTGGGATTTGAACTCAGGACCTGGGCACTGTTGCTTAACTTTTATTTTTTCCTCAAGGCTGGCATTATACACCTTGAGCCACAGTTCCTACTTATGACTTATTGCTAGTCAGTTGGAGATAAGAATTTCACAGACGTTTTTGCCCAGGCTGACTTCGAACCATGATCCTCAGATCTCAGTCTCTTGAATAGTTAGGACTACAGGCATGAGCTACCAGTGCTGGACACACAAGGACTCTTTTAAGCACCCTCATGTGCACTTTTTTTTTTGTCGGTCATGGGGCTTGAACTCTGGTCCTGGGTGCTGTCCCTGAGCTCTTCAGCTCAAGGCTAGCACTCTACCTCTTGAGCTATAGTGCCACTTCTGGTTTTCTGGTGGTTTATTGGAGATAAGAGTCTCACGGACTTTCCTGCCTGGGCTGGCTTTGAACCGCGATCCTCAGATCTCAGCCTCCTGAGTAGTTAGGATTACAGGTGTGAGCCATTATGTGCACTTTTTATCTTGCTATGTTTGCTTCATGTATTCATTTATTTACTTGATTGTCATTGGGCTTC